CTTGGCCTTTTAGTTTTAAAAGCTTCCTCATATCAAATACAAACCATCCTTGTCCCTGTTTGCAGACTGTAACATCATCTTCATCAACTTCCATATCCAAAAACAGAGCATTGCAGTTGGATTTCTCCAGACCATTCCAACCATTCTCAACTCAAGCTAAGCATTGTATTAGCTTCCTAGAGGTTCAAGGAAGCTAACCTGATCATCACCATTACTTGAAACAAGCTAAAACTCATTTCACGATTTCCAGTTTTGAGGTATTTTTCTTGAACTTCTATCTCATTATTTAGGCATTGTTAGGCTTGCATTTGTGAAGATAAAATATAGACATCATTGCCCTGAAACTATACATGTCCATAGATTTCATTTATGTTGCTTGAGTAGGGAGAATTTTGAGTTTGAACCTCTGAAAATATTTAGGTCAGAATTTGGTACTATTAGAAATTCATGCACATCTTTGAGAATTAGCTTAAGTTATTTACATATTCAGAATCGTGAGGAAATTTCTAACAAGTTTGATGTTGGAAGTTTTGTGAATGGATGAGAAATGAATAAGTTACAGATCCTTTGACTGGTGGTTGGAGATGAAGTACATTCAGGGCAAGATTTATGTTACATATTTATTGTTTTGTTTAAGTTAACGGATGTATAACCACCCCAGTGGTTAAAGCGCGCGCCTGTCACCTTAGAGACCTGGGTTCGAGCACCAGTGATACCCTTTTGCCTATTTTTTATGTTTTCACCATTTTTTTATTTGAACACAGGCACTGGGCCTCCCCCCTTTGGGCCTTGTTTTGTTTGCTAATTCCTGACTCCCTGCTTGCTCACACACCCCTGGCTCAGTTTTTATTTATTTTATTTATTTCATTTATTATTTTTTATTGGTATTTTATATTTTATTTATTATTTATATTTTTGTTATTACTATTATTATCATTATCATTATTATTACTTATTAATAAAAAATCCAAAAATATTTGTATTTATTATTTACACTTATTTAGTTTATTTTCTTTATAAAACTAAAAGAACAAAAAATATTTTCTTAACAATTTAATTTCTTTTTTTTTTAGTAAATAATAATTATATTTAGGTTTTTGATTTCTTAATTAAAATTAATTTAGAATTTAGGTTTCTTTTAATTAATTAATTTTCATATTATTATTATTAATCTAAAACCTTTTAACAAAAAACCCTAAAAATACTTTTTTAACTTAATTTCTTTCTTATTTAGTTTAAATTTAATTTTGTTTATTTTAATTAATCATTTTCTAAATTAGGTCAAGACTAAACCCCTTTCATGAAAAAAACAAACAAAAATCATTTCTTTTTTCATTTGCATTTGTACATTATTTTTCAATTCTTGTACATTTATTCAATGTGGTTGTAATAGAAAATTAAGTTTAATTTTCTTGCAAAATTCTCATTTGTAAATTTGTATACCCACTCCCCTAATGATGTAATAGCTTAGTATTTTTATTTTCCGCAATTTAACGCTTTATATATAAATGCTAGTAAATTAGGGTTTGTATGGAAAGATAAAATCAACAAGTTAGCAAATCATAATCCAAGGTAAACAAGCATGTAAATCCAACACATTTGCACACTTACACCCTTAGGGTAATTCCACTTTGTTGCCTTACAAAAATAGCTATGTTATGCATGTGGGTATCTTAGCAAAAACAAATAAAAAATAAAAGATCATAGTCCCCCGATGACGCTATCAAATATTGTCTTTCAAAATGATCTTAGTCCCTCAAAGAGAATTGCTAAGATATTTCACAACATTGCTATCATGGCTATACGATGACCCACGCCCGTCCCTTTACATCCAAAGATAGGGCTTTTTACCAAATCAATAGTAAGATAGCAATATCAAAGGAAATGAAGAAATGAACTAAGACTTTTGAGTAGGTAGATTGTTCCCAGTTGCTTGCTCAATTTCAAATCAAACACTCTTGCTTATTTTCAAAACAAATACCAACACTTTCAAAACATCTTCCAAACTTGAAACATTTTCAAAAGCTCAACACTTTATATACGTTCTTACGAACGAGAACTATTACAAAGTTTGCATAAACGATGGCGCTTTTTCAAAATATTTTAAAAAAAACCACACAAAGCACATTTTCAAACAAAAGCAAGTGATCTAGCAAACAACTAATAGCCCATAGATAACTATGGATGAAAAGGGTGCTAACATCTTCCCTTTTCATAATCTACCCCCCGAACTCAAGAAATCTCAAAGGTCTTTCCTGTTCTTTTCATCCTTTTCTTTTACATAAAAGAAAAGTCAGTAGCGACTCTTGCTAACCGCAACATTTGCGATAAAATGCAAAATACCCAAGTCAGTTCTTCCACCGTATCACAACGTCTAAATCCAATAATTTTCAATGAAATCTCTCTATGCAAATGACGTGATACTTCCTCTGGGTCACTAATTATTGGTCTACATTCACATTTAAGACAGAGACACTTAACTCCTCTTTCGCTTCAACAATATTCCTGAGCAAATGCCCACGTGATAAACCCATTAACTCCTTCTATAAAATTGGGTTTAAGTGCACGTCTTCCTGAATATAATCTATCGCACATCCAACTACGATAATACCGATAATATTCCATATTGCACATTTATATAATCATTCTCTTTTTATTAACTATAAATAAGCATTTAACTATAGTATTACCTAAACATTTTATAAACATATATTTTTAATGTATTTTATAAATTAACTATTACATCCTTTTTTTAAACAAAATATAATAAAAATATAATAACCTTTTTTTTAAAATGTTATGCTTAATTAATACTACTTTACACATATTATGTTATGTTTTGTTCTTAATAAACATATTATTCTTTTAAAAAATAAAAAATATAATTATATTCTATTTTATTCTATTTTATTCTATTTTATTTTATTTTAAATATACATAAATAATATATTCTATTTTTAATATATAATTTGTTTAAAAAAATAATTTTCCTATTTTAAAAAGATATAATATATTTCATTTTTTATGATATTTTATTTATAATTCTATTTTTAAAATTAATAATATTTTTTATACATAACTATTATATTCATTTTAATGTTTTTATTAATGTATAATATTTTGTTTTTCATTAAAGATATATACTATTTTTATTAATATATTCTATTTTTAAAAACAATAATATAAAATATGTACTTTTCTTTATTATAAAACAGTTTTTAATAGATGTACTATTTTTGTATATATATATTAATATAACTATCTAATAAATCTATTTCAAAACATAACATTATATTTAAACACACAATAAAAAAACTAATTATTCTATTAAATTTATTTAAATAAAATAACAAACATACTTCTTCTTTAATCTCCTTCGAACTTCTTCTCCTTCAACCTTCTTCAATCTTCTTCTCTTCAAAACCTTGAGAAAGAAAATTAAATCCAAAATCAGAAATAAAAATTATTTTAAATATAAAATGAAATTATAAAAAAATTGATGTAAATTACCTTTGATATAAGATTGAAAGAAATTTGTGAAAAAAATTTGGGATTGAAATGTACGAGAAAAGGATTTGAGATTGGAATGTATGAGAAAGGGACGGAAGAGAAGAGGAAATTTGTGAAAAAAGTATGAACGAATGGTTTCCAGAGAGAAAGAGAAATGTTGATCTATATAAGCCAATCAGCGACGTGAATTTCACGTCGCAACCTTGCCACGTAATATTTATATCGCAACACAACAACAGTAATATTATTTACTTAGCCTGCCTGTAATTCCTGTCACCAATCACTTCACGAAAATGTGATTTTCCCTCTTAAAGTTTGCGACATATTTAACACATCACAAGTAATGTCTTAAAATTTTGAATATTCCCCCATTTGAGTCTTCCCAGGTCACAAATAATTTTTTGTTTTTATTTTTACTGTAAGGTAGTGACGTGTTTCTCGCGTCGCAACCTTTTTTTTTTAAAACAAAGTCACTCCTACAAACTTTATGTTATTTAAATTATTTAAAAGTCAAAATCATATAGTAATGTAATTATCACATGGGAACTATTAATTTTTTGCCACGTGATAATCACGTCACAAAAATATTTCGTAAAAGATATATTTTCTTGTAGTGTTTGATTTAATTTTTATTCTTCAAAGAAGTGTTATTCTAATGAAAACTTTAATCTTCTTTCTCCTTCTTCTCTTCATTCTTTTTTGTTAAGATATTACTAGTTGAAAAAAAATGAACAACTAATAAACATAATTAATGCAATTAAAAATTTGAATAAACTATTTAAAAATAGAAAGAAAAAAATATAAATCATATTCTACAATAAAATAAATACAAGTATCGGTTATTTATGACATAGGTTGTAATATTTACTTAAGTTTAATAAAAAATTAAATTATTTTTCTAGTTTTTTTATAAATTTCTTTATTTAAATTAAAGCTTAATAAAAAAATAGTCAATTTTAGTTCTCATCTTATACAATAGTGTTTTTTATTTTAAGAAAGATGCTCGTATACAAAAAAAGTTGTATGCTTTTAGTACTAGGGGCTAAAACAAAGCACTTTTAAGAAGATTATTAGCCTTGAAAGCTTGAAATCTTATAGGGACAAAACACATTATTTATAATTTAGGAAGTATGATAGAGTAAGATAAGGGTCATGATCATGTAGACCCAGATTGTCTCCTGATAAGTATATCTTCGCACGTTGGGAACGTAGATGGTACTGTCACTGTTATTACAAAGAGTGGCAAGAGCCAGCTCTTTGCATTCTTGCCCTTTCATTGTTTAACAATAATAAAAACATTGTGATATCTTTAGTTATCTGTTTTCCTAATTATGATAACAACTAGTACTATAATATAATTATTGTTATTATGGTTTGCATTTGCATTCACATTTGGTTTCTTTTTATTTTCTAACTGTTTATTTATCATGCAAATGGTTCAGTTTTGTTTGTAAATTTAGTATAGTTTTGAAGTTTTGAAGTTTTGAAGGATGAAGAATTTGCATTGGTTGAAAGAGTTTTCTAACAATGTGAGGACAGGTAGAAGACTTTCACTAGGTGAATACAAAAGAGCTGTGTCTTGGTCTAAGTATTTAGTTTCTTCTGGAGCAGCTATTAAGGGAAATGAAAAAGATGATTGGAATGCTGATTTGTCTCAGTTGTTTATTGGTTCCAAATTTGATTCTGGGAGACATAGCAGGATCTATAGAGGTTTATACAAGAACATTGATGTGGCTATTAAGCTTGTGAGTCAACCTGAGGAGGATGAGGAATTGGCTGCTTTGCTTGAGAGACAATTTACTTCTGAGGTTGCTTTGTTGTTTCGATTGCGCCATCCCAATATTATTACTGTAAGCTCTATTTCTTCATTGATTTCTTTTTCTGTATATATTGACTATGCTTTGAAATTGTTGTTCAGTCACAATAGTAGCTACGAACGGTTAAAAGTCCAACATCAGACAATATATAGTCTGAACATTTATTTATCAGTGAAGATGAGTTTAAGCTTAGGCCCAAACCACGTATCTTAATATGGTATGTTTAAGATTGGTTGGGCCACCTGCTATAACTTACTATTTACTTTCACGCTCCAGCTGTCAAGTCTTAGGCGTGAGAGAGTGTGTTAAGAGTCTCACAGTTATTATATTTGTTAAGTATCGAAGAAATAAGCATATTTTCAGTTATTAACACTTTGATTGATAATTGTATTATTGTAGTTTGTTGGAGCATGCAAGAAACCACCAGTGTTCTGTATAATCACTGAATATATGGCTGGAGGCTCATTGAGAAAGTACCTACAACAACAAGGACCGCATTCAGTTCCTCCGAAAGTGGTTCTTGAGTTAGCCCTTGATATTGCAAGGGGGATGCAATATCTTCATTCTCAAGGAATACTTCATAGGGATCTCAAATCAGAAAATCTGCTGTTGGATGAAGATATGTGTGTAAAAGTGGCCGATTTTGGGATCTCGTGCTTAGAATCTCAAACCGGTAGCACAAAAGGATTCACTGGAACTTACCGTTGGATGGCGCCTGAAATGATCAGAGAAAAGCGTCATACAAAGAAAGTAGATGTCTACAGTTTTGCCATAGTTCTATGGGAGCTAATAACAGGACTCACACCATTTGATAACATGACACCAGAACAGGCAGCATATGCAGTAACTCACAAGGTATCGTTGCTATAGTATACAGATTTTGCTTTGTTTTTTTTATATATTAAGCATCTTAGTTCAATGGTTATCGATGTGTTGAGTGCGTATCCAGAACCCGCCTGATTTTATTTTTGTGCATTTCTTGATTTTCTATAAACTCGGTTTTTGGAAAATGTGTGCAGAATGCAAGGCCTCCATTACCATCTGATTGTCCAATGGCATTTAGTCATCTGATAAAGAAGTGTTGGTCAAGCAATCCAAATAAACGGCCACATTTTGTTGAGATAGTCTCAAATTTGGAGAGATATACAGATTCACTCGAGCAGGATCCTGAATTTTTCTCTACCTACAAACCAAGTCCTAGTAATGTACTTGTGAAGTGCTTACCAAATTGTAATGCTGGCTTAGAAGTTAGGACTCTCTTTTAAATAATCTATCTGATGATAATTGTATTATATCGATCCCAAGATGGACTAGTATGGTTCTATTTGAATTAACTTCTAGCTTGCAGAGCCTTTTAATTAGAAGAAAATTATAGTTCTTCATTTATAAAGAGCAATTTAGAGGTCTTGATAACTTATAACTGTTGGTTTTTCGAATAAATTATTTATAAAATATTTCTATCACCCAAGATATTACTATATGTTAGATCACATATCTTGAAGGGACAATTTCTAAAAGGAACACAAAAGATGAGGAAGAATTGGCACGAAAAATAAGAGAAAGTTCATAAATGTAATTAAACTTTGGTACAAATATTGAAATAACTTAAACACTATTTATAGAGTTGTAAAATGAAACATATAAAAATTAACGTAGGAAAACAAACATCTTGATTGAGCTCGGAATGAGTGGATGCTGGTGTTGCATTGCAGATAAGTAAGTATAGTTTTTATTATCTCTATAAGGACTGATTGTGTGTTTTAAAGACTGATTTCAATAATTTCTTCAGAAAATTGATGTGTTTCAACAGTAGGAAAATTTTGTTAGGCTTAGAGTTCATTGACATGTACTTATGTAGAATCCTTGAAGAGTAATATGCATTTTTAATTATTTATTTAATATTAGCGTATGAGGCTCTCATGCAACTCATGTCTAGAGATGGCAAAAAAAAATTATGCTCGTAGGTATTTTTAGATTAAATCTATCACAAGTATGAGACAAGTATTTTAATGAATATTCACGGATAAAATAAATAGAAATTTAAATACTCATTTTTTTTATTGGATAGGGATGCAAGTTTAATGATACATGTGTTCGCGGATACTCATATCAGTAACGCTCATTTATTTAATTAATTATTTAATTAAATTATTTTTTGGATTACTTGTTGAAGTTGTGAGATGTTGAGAGTTTTTAGTATAATTGTTAGATTATTATTAATTAATTAATTAGTTGATTAATAATAATAATGTTGGAAATAATGGAATAATTGTGTTGGGCCTATTTTATTGATTGGATATAGTAAAGTGGGAGTGTGAAAATTAAGCTCAATTGGACTAATGATATAAGGTTAAGCTGACACAAGGATTTGATTTAGTTGGTGTATAAGGAGTTCTGTACGCTGACCGTAAGAGCTGCACGGAGGAAGGAGCAAGTTGCCCGGTGTCGAGCAGAGCAAAACAAGGATTACGGTCGGAGTTGTGGTTGAACGAACTTCAATCCAGGTAAGGGTGGAGTTCTGACCTTATAATGGAATTTGTGATGTGTATTATATGGGAATTGGTCATTTGTATGACTGTGCGTTGATGTTTCTGGAATTGTTATCGAAGTTGCCTGTTTCTCTATGTTGTGGTCGTTAGGAAGTCACTGTATGACTGTCTTGCATGATTAGTGAACATGTCGTTGGAGTTGCCCGTTAGTAGTTTTGTGGGCGGTTTGAGTGGTCTGTATTATTGTCCGGTAGAATCGATGATTAAGTTAGTGTAGTTTATCAATGAGTGGTGTGGTCGTTATGATGTTGTGGTATTCCGAGCAGTTGGCAGAAAATTAGTAAATTGTTGTTGTGGTCGTTTTAGGAAGGTTTCTGCGTGACTGGCTTGTATAATTAATAAATCTGTTGATAGAAAATATAGTTGCCCGTTGTTGTGATATTCTAAGCAGTTGGTCAGAAGTTATGAATTGTATTATTGTGGTCGTTATGACGTCGTGTTGTTCTGTGTTGTTGGCCAAACTAGTGGTCGAGGAGGATGTTGATGGTGTTAGGTGTCGAGCGGCATTTAGACTACAAAGTGTGTTAGAGAATATATGTGTTGGATGCCGAGGAGTACGGTACTGTTGTCGAGCGGCATGAAGTTGCAGGTTGTGCCGAGGGACATAAGTTAATTGTTATTCTTCTTTGTTTCTGCCTGTGTCGAGGAACATGAATTAGTTGTTATTCGGTCTTGTGTCGAGCATGTCGAGGGGCGTAGTTCTTCGTAGCCCTATTGCCCGTATATGTTGTTTGGTCGATACCAGTGCTGTATAAATTGTTCTGAATTCAGAAATTGCGGGTTGATAAATTATGTTGAGATGCCTCTAGTTATGGGCAGATATTATGTTGTAGGCCTATGGCCAAAGTTGATTCATGTTGAGTGATGTTGAATTGTTGTTGATGTTGTAGGCTTATGGCTAATGTTGATTTATGTTGAGTTGTTGTTGTTTGTTGTTGTTGCTACATTCATGTTGTGTCGCATACATCGCATATCAAGTTGGAGCTGATGCTCGTTAAGTTGGTCTAGATTGGCAAAATATTAATTTGAAGGCTTATGCCTTGATTGATGCTTCTATTAATTGGAAACTTTTAAGTTGGGAGTTCTGCTCCGTTTTTAAGTTGGGAGTTCTGCTCCATTGGTACCACATGCATATGTATAGTAACAAGTTGCATTTCACGTTGCATATTGAGTTGCCGTGTTGATAAATTAATTATTATGTTTTGTTGATGTTTTGTTGTGATTGATGTTGTTTAAAATTGTGAAGTGGTGATTTTGCATAGACTAATTCTAATGTGATATTTATTATACATTCGATTATATTATTCGATATCTCACCCCTTATATTTGAATGTTACCCCGATGTTGGTAACTTGCAGGTAATCCAGAGTGAAGGCGATTTATCTTCAGTAGTTTGAGTCGGTGTCATTGCTTCGATATGTAACACTTGGGGGATGAATGCTTGCTATTTTATTGTTGTTCTTATTTAGTTGTTGCACTTTAAGTTGTTATTCGTTAAATACTTATTATTCGAAGTTGTTTCAGTTGGATAAAGATATTATATTATTTTAAGTTGAATATTTGATTTCGCTGCGTGGTTATGAAAGTTGTTAGTTTTAAAAGATGAATTTATGTTGTTGTTGGTTCATCCAGATTTAATGTGTTATGTATTTGTAATGAATGTCGTTGTATTAAGTTGAATTTGTAGCATCCTGATTCAGTTGTCGAATTTTTGTAACTCTGATTTTATAATAATTATCGGTTAGAATTGGGTGTTACAATATCCATTAATAAATTACTAAAATTATTAAAATTAATTAGTTTATTAAACTGTCTTTTAATCTTTTAGAAAATTAGTCTCCAAAATAAGCATTAAGAATGAAGTATCCATCGATATTAAAACTTAAGAAGAATTACATTGAACGTCATGGTTGGGATCAAAACATAAGTAACAAAACAACTATATCTAACCCCAACAAAATAGAAAATTAGCTACATGTACTCATCGTAGATTTATAATCAAGCCACGGAAGAAAGAAGTTGAAAAGTATCTGTTGAGGATTCCTCAGATAACACGTTTGCCCTTGATCTTCCTCTCTTATTCTCTCATATTGTGATTTGTGGTGAAAACCTGATTTCACTAAGGAACTATGTAACGCCCATTTATTTAATTAAATTATTTTTTGGATTATTTGTTGAAGTTGTGAGATATTGAGAGTTTTTGATATAATTGTTAGATTATTATTAATTAATTAATTAGTTTATTAATAATAATAATAATGTTGGAATTAATGGAATAATTGTGTTGGGCCTATTTTATTGGTTGGATGTAGTAAAGTGAAGGTGTGAAAGTTAAGCCCAATTGGACTAATGATAGAAGGTTAAGCTGACACAAGGATTTGATTTAGTTGGTGTATAAGGAGTTCTGTACGCTGACTGTAAGAGCTGCATGGAAGAAGGAGCAAGTTGTCAGGTATCGAGCAGAGCAAAACAAGGATTATGGTCGGAGTTGTGGTTGAACGAGCTTCAATCCAGGTAAGGGTGGGGTTTGGACCTTATAATGGGATTTATGATGTGTATTATATGGGAATTGGTCGTTTGTATGATTGTGCGTTGATGTTTCTAGAATTGTTATCGAAGTTGCCAGATTCTCTATGTTGTGGTCGTTAGGAAGTCATTGTATGACTGTCTTACATGATTAGTGAACCTGTCATTGAAGTTGCTCGTTAGTAGTGTTATGGGCGGTTTGAGTGGTCTGTATCATTTCCCGGTAGAATCGATGATTAAGTTAGTGTAGTTTATCATTGGGTGATGTGTTCGTTATGATGTTGTGGTGTTCCGAGCAGTTGGCAGAAAATTAGTAAATTGTTGTTATGGTCGTTTTAGGAAGGTTTCTATGTGACTGACTTGTATACTTAATAAATTTGTTGATAGGAAATATAGTTTCCCGTTGCTGTGATATTCCGAGCAGTTGGTCGGAAGTTATGAATTGTATTAATATGGTTGTTATGACATCATGTTGTTCTGTGTTATTGGCCGAACTAGTGGTCGAGGAGGATGTTGATTGTGTTGTTCTGTGAAGTGTGTCAGAGAATATATGTGTTGGATGCCGAGGAGCATGGTACTACTGTCTAGCGGTACAAAGTAGTAGGTTGTACCGAGGGATATAAGTTAGTTGTTATTATTCTTTGTTTCTGCCTGTGTCAAGGAGCATGAGTTAGTTATCATTCGGTCTTGTGCCGGTCATGTCGAGGGGCGTAGTTCTCCCTAGCCCTATTGACTGTATATATTATTTGGTCGATACCAGTGTTGTATAAGTTGTTCTGAATTGAGAAATTATAGGTTGATGAATTATGTTGAGATACCTCTAGTTATGGGCAGATATTATGTTGTAGGCTTATGGTCAAAGTTGATTTATGTTTAATGATGTTGAATTGTTGTTGATGCTGTAGGCTTATGGCCAATATTGATTTATGTTGAGTTGTTGTTGTTTGTTATTGTTGCTATATTCATGGTGTGTCGCATACATCGCATATCAAGTTTGAGCTGATGCTCATTAAGTTGGCCTGGATTGGAAAAATATTAAGTTGAAGGCTTATGCCTTGATTGATGTCTCTATTAATTGGCAATTTTTAAGTTGGGAGTTCTGCTCCATTTTTAAGTTGGGAGTTATGTTCTGTTTTTAAGTTGAGAGTTCTACTCAATTGGTACCACATGCATATGCATAGTAACAAGTT